ATGGCTCAATGGTTAGGACGTCTGCCCCTAACCGGTGAGGCGCGAGTTCGAAACTCGGGTGTGGCGACAATTTCAGCGGCTACACTAGAGTTGGCTGCCCGTAGCTGATGAGGGCCAGCAGCCTGAAATAGCTATACTGCGGTGCCTATCTTGCCGGAATACTAAAACATAAAAAATCATAAACCGTTCCTGACGTCGTTGATTTCTATTTCAAACAAGTCACCCTCCTCAGTAGGGCTCCTGTTAAAGCCAGAGACGTGTGGGAAGCCCATATTTATTAGAAGGAAAGCAACGAAATATTCAGCACTGGATGGGAAAGTTTTTCACAGAACCTTTTTCGTGTCCTGGCTTTTTCCTCGACGTCTAGCTAGGAAAACGTGTGTATCCTGACCTTCTCGGTTGATTTTAGGACAGATTATTGATTGTGAAGGTGCCTTACTTTCTACCACTCCAGTGACACATCCTGGTCTCTTAAAAATCACAATTTAATCACTGCTTTGATACTAATAGTCTTACCCTCTCCATTTGCTTAACAGATCTAAAGTTACGTAATTATTTCCAGCACCTGGCATCTTTGGTTTCCATGCCAGACAAGTCATACTCCTCAGCAGGGTTCACCTTAAAGCCAGAGGCGTGTGAAAAGCCTAGGTTGGTGAGCAAAAAGTGACGATATATTCATCATTGGCTGGAAACATTTTTCACAGAATCTAATTACATGAAGTTAATACATGTGTCATGGCGAGTTCGCACATTATTTTGCTCGGAAACTAAACAAAGCAAGACCTGAAGTTGCTGCCGAACCAGTAGTCTTCCCTTCATCCCCCAGGTCGTACCAGGTTCTTCGTACCCATCACGGACATTTGTCAAAGTTTACTTCTTCCTGTTGTATGGTTGTATGTAAAAGTATAGGGGTGACATGATCGGGGGTGGGGGCAGACACGTTAGAAATGTTGGCAGAAAGGAAAAGTCTGTGTGTCTGATGACGTCGGAAGCTTGAGCACGTCGAACGGAACCGCCAACTGTAGCCAACACCTTCCTTCCATCATATCTACTATTGCTACACCTTACCAAGCAGCCGACCTTCCTTTGTT